ATGTATGTATGTATGCATGGTCCAAACGTACATACCTCAAAAGCACGGGTATGTACGATCTCCGATACATAGAAGAGTCGTACATACCCAGTATGTATGTATTTCCGGGGAAACATACATACCTAGAAAATTAGAGGTATGTATGGCATGTATGGATGTCTGGGGAAAGATATATACCTAGAAAAGAAGAGGCATGTATGTATGTATGTATGTATGTATGTATGTATTGTCCGAACGTACAGACCTCAAAAGCACGGGTATGAGTGTGAGACATAGCATCAGGTAAAAAGCGAGGTCTGTGTGTTTCGCAGCGCTCCCAGTTTGAGGTATGTATGTTTCCCAGGAAGATACATACGCATGAGTGTCTCGGTATGCATGTTTCCCACAAACATACATACTCATTATTATCCAGGTATGTCTGTGTCCCACAAACATATATACCTAGGACTTGGAGGAATGTACGTGGTCTGAGAAACATACATACCCGTGAGTTTGAAATATGTATGGTTCGCAGAAACATACCTACCCACAATATTCTGGTATGTATGTTTCCCACGCAGATACAGACCGTTAGTTGTTGAATGTATATCCGTTCCCAGAAACACACACACCGAGGACGTATGTCGGCCAAACAGAGATTACCTTCAAGTATGTATTTTCCCTGCAACAATCATGCCCTTGACCTTGAAGGCAGTATAAGGAGGAAGAGAGATATGTGGCATTCTCGGGATGCGCGTATACATGAACGTGGACTGTCCCACACAATGAAGCATGCTCCTCTCCGTGACCTCCCCCCCCAAAGGCAGGTATGTATGTACGTATGTATGTATGCATGCATGCGTGTATGTCTGTGAGGGCCCGTGAACATGGAGGGGGCATTGTATGAATGGATGTAAGTCTCATGCCCTTTGGCGCATGGGTATTAGACGTGTGTATGACGTAATGTATGTATGTGTGGGGAAACAGACATCGCTAGAAAATGACAGGTATGTATGTCTGTTATTGGAATGTATGTCTGGGGAAACATACATACCTAGAAAATGATAGGTATGTATGGTATGTATGTATGTCTGGGGAAACATACCCGGCCCTGCCCAGACCGAGGCGTCGCATCATTCGAGGCAGGGGTAGTAATAGGTTACCAGACATACGTTGCACAGTCGTCGACGTGCGAGGGGGCTCGCTTCGCTCGCCCCGCGGGGGAGGCGCTGCGCCCTCCCCCGCACCCCCTCCCGCGATTTAATGAGTGACAACCCTCACCGCTGCTGCATGTTCGTGACGACACAGACACACCTAGAAAAGCAGACGTGTGTGTGACGCATGGGTAGTAGACGTGTGTATGACGTAATGTATGTACGCGTGGGGAAACTAGAAAATGACAGGTATGTATGTCTGTGTGTGTATGACGCAGGGTATTAGACATGTGTATGACGTCATGTATGTATGTGTGGGGAAACATACATCGCTAGAAAATGACAGGTATGTATGTCTGTTATGGGTATGTATGTATGAGACATACGTTGCACAGTCGTCGACGTGCGAAGGGGCTCGCTTCGC